TTTAGGCTGTTACTGCGACGTGGCATTAGTATAAAATACCTTCTGACTCTTAAAAACATAACAGATAAATAGTTTGCAATTATTATTCCACCCGGGCTAGATTTGTTTTTACTAAATTGATTGATTGCAACATCAACTGTGTCAATCCTTATATGAGATTAAAGAATAGAAGAGAGCAGAGCGTCAGCATACAGGCTACTTTTGCTCGCCCTGCTAATCACATCCCAGATAATTTGTGAAAATATTCTGCCACAATCTGTAGATTAAACATTTTATTTCCTGTTTTACTTCTATTCCTTTCTGTCCCGTTAAATGTGGTTCATTGTTCAGTAGTTTACCAAGCAGCCTTCTGGTTTCTGCCCTCAGATGGGGTAACAGGAAGCTGCAAGTTATATTTTTAGACAAATACATCAAAAAGACATTTTTCATGTATTTGCATTTGCTCTGCCTCCCAAAAGTTTGTCTCCACTCCTATTTATCCATCATCTCGGCCCCACCAGGTTCTGATGGGGCCGTCTCTGCTCAAAATGCCCATCCAGTTGTTGCCATGGCAACATTTAGAACATTACAAGGATCCAATCAATCGTTATTCATGTTATAAATCTATAAACTACACATGATGCAGTGAAATAAACAAACTCATTGGGAACATTTCAGCTTATTGGGTGATTTCCTTTCTTTATGCAACGTTTTCTGTTTCCTAATCCATGCCGTTAGTGACGGATGTTACTGCATCCATGATGTCTACAGGCACAGCATGTACCAACGGAGCTTCATCTGACCTGATGAGGTGTGCGTTGTCATGTTTGATCCTTTCCGCCAGGTTCGACTTCCTCCATTTCATGAAGGCGTTCAGGTTGGCCCCAGCAGGGTTGGTCACTGAGATTAAGTCGTTAGTGGACCAGACCTCCAGACCCACCAGAGCAATGAAGGTCCTTAAAGGTCTGTAGACCTGCAGATGACCAGAGACGGACGACAGCCTAAGAGACGTGGTTCAGTTCAGCAAATGTCAGACCATGAACTCAGACTCACCATGTTAACAAAGTTGGTGATTTCAAATATCCTCTGTCTCATCTTGGTCATATCTCTGTTCATCTTGTTAAACTGAAACAACATTTAGTCGCATTAAGAGCAAACTTACATCCTTTTTCTCTGCAGTAGTTTCATTTCCTAAATAGAAACCTGCACAAGTTTCAATGCACTGTAGTCAGAATATAGTGTTAGTGGGAATTTGAAGAGGAAGTCCATAAATAGAGTCGCTGAATATTAGTTTGATTTTATGACTATGTTAGACATTAGTCATAAGCAAAGGTGTCAAAACCAATAATGTTTATTCCTCCAGTATAAATCCTGCTGTTTATAGAGGTTAGAGGTTTTTACTCCAGTTAAAGTGTAAAAGTAC